GTGTTGAATGGTAGGATTTAATCCCCCAATAAAGTTGTCTAAGAAGAAATCATTTAGCAACTTATCATTGCTCTGCAACAATAAGCTTCTCAAATGTTCAAGTTTGTCCATATAGTCATCTAGGGTTGATATTTGTTGTAATTTATTAAAATTATCCACAACTGTGCCCCCCCAATTCCTCATTAAACTGAGCAAACATAGTTATAATAAACAAATCAAGGTCCAAATCATGAGGTCGGCCGGCCCAAAGGTGATGGCCTCTACTCTACTCTTCTTGGTGGGGGAGTTGATATTGAACCCACAAAGGGACCTTCTTCTGTGCTGCGGGGGTGTCTCTAGTCTCAGCACCCCCAAAGGGCGACACATGGCGGATGTGCGTCGATTACTCAGATCTAAACAAAGCCTGTCCAATGGATCCCTATCCGGTCCCGAGGATTGATTTGTTGGTAGATGAAACTGCAGGATGTGAACTGCTCAGCTTCATGGATGCCTTCAGAGGGTATCATCAGGTATTCATGCACCCCGACGATGCGGAAAAAACGGTGTTCGTCACGGCAGATGGCGTGTACTGCTACATAGTCATGCCATTCGGCTTGAGGAACGTCATGGCCACATTTCAGAGGATGATCGGGATGTTGTTCAAAAACGTACTCGGAAAAACGATGGAAGCTTACATGGACGACATCCTTATCAAAAGAAAAAAGGAGGATCACATCCAGGACCTGGAGAGGGTCTTCACCATAATGTAGGGGGCAATATGAGGCTCAACCCGAATAAATGTGCATTTGCCATCAAGGGCGGCAAGTTCATCGGCTACATGATGAGTGAGCGAGGAATCGAACCCAACCCGGGAAAGGTAAAGGTGATCATGGACATGGAGGCCCCCAAGAACCTCAAAGACGTGCAGAGATTTATCGGGCGCCTGGCAGCACTGAGCCGCTTCATGTCCAAGCTGGCGGATAAGGCGATCCCTTTCTTTCAGATCATGAAGAAGGCGAGTCCTTTCGAATGGACCCCAGAGTGCCAGGCGCCCTTTGAAGACTTTAAAGCTTACCTCTCCTCTCAGCTCGTCCTAAAAAAGGAGGACCCAGGGGAGCAGTTGTACATGTACCTAGCAGTGGCAGATGTGGCAGTGAGCTCTGTGCTGCTCAAAGAAGAAGGGGGCATTCAGCGGCCGATATATTTTGTGAGCAAGGCGTTGAACGGCCCAGAAACGAGATACACATTGATGGAGAAGATGGTCCTCGCCTTGATAGCATCCATCAAGCGCTTGACGCCGTATTTCCAAGCTCACCCTGTGACGGTTTACACCACGCAGCCCCTCGCCACAATTCTCAGGAATCCCATGGTTAGCGGCAGAATTACCAAGTGGTCCTTGATGATCAGCCAATATAATGTGGAATTCAAACTGAGGATGACAATCAAGGGACAGGCACTTGCAGATTTCATAGCCGAATGCACGGCGCGCACCGAGGACAGCACCCAGGATACCAATGACTTCGACAACTGGTGGGAGATGTACACCGATGGGGCCTCGAGTGCGCGAGGCTGTGGTGGAGGCGCGGTGATCACCTCTCCCGAAGGATTCAAAGCTTACTACTCCATGAAGTTTGCGTTCAAAGTCACCAACAATGAGGCTGAGTAGGAGGCGCTTATTGCAGGATTGAAATGCGTGAAGGCCTTCGGAGCAGCTCGTCTGAAAGTGAGAATGGATAGCCAATTGGTGGTTACCCAGATGAACGGAACAGCTGAAACCAGGTAGGAGAGGATGAAGGTTTACAAGGAGCTGGCAGAGGAACAGACCGCGCAGTTCGAGCAGGTGATAATTGACCAGATATCTCGGGTGGAGAACGCCGAGGCTGAAATCTTGTCCAATCTTCCATCTGATGACCCAACGACGAGCATCCCCCGATACATAAAAGGGTTTGTTACGCATGAGACGCTCCTGACACGAGAACGCCGTTCAGCGCCTTGCTCACAAAATAAGTAAATAAAAAGTATCTATTTAAAAAATATTAATTGGGAGCGAGGATTGAATACAGCCCTTGATTTCATCTCGAGTTTCAATAGATTATACCAAGATAGCTCTATAATACTCCCTTTTTATAGTGCTCCAGTAGGTTAACATCAAATTCCTTAATAAAAATTCAGTTGAAATTTTTATTATTGTGTAACCATTATTGAATGTCATTGTAATGGAAATGCATAAGAAATGTGATATTTAGAAATGAACCTCTCTTTTCTCGTTGATTGGAGAAGCAGTTCTTTTTGGGCAATATACTCATTTATTCGTTTTATTGATTTTCACATATTTTCAAAAACGTGGAAGAAGTTTTCTTTCACTCCTTCCACCTCGAAACTGTAAACCAAGGTATATATAAGAGACGAATGAGACGAATGCAAAGAGGAGAAGAGAAGGCAAGTTGTGTGGCAGAAGAGAGAGCGAGCAGAACTGGGCCGGTCCTAGCTAACACATCAAAGACCCTGTGCAACAATAAATTTGGGCCTTTCATTTGATGAAGTAAAAGCATACTACGTAATACATTTCACACTATATATTAATAATAAATAATCAATTTCAGAGTAATATTATATGTCAAATTACAAGTTATTAATTAACAATTTAAAACTTTCAAAATAAAAGTATTCATTAACAAAATTCACTTTATTTTTAAAGAGATATTCTTTGAGCATATTTTTAGTATTGTCGTCTTGCGTCTTTTAGAACATTGGTTATAACTCATTTAAAATATGCTCAAAGAATATCTCTTTAAAAATAAAGTGAATTTTGTTAATGAATACTTTTATTTTGACAGTTTTAAATTGTTAATTAATAACTTGTAATTTGACATATAATATTACTCTGAAATTGATTATTTATTATCAATATATAGTGTGAAATGTATTACGTAGTATGCTTTTACTTCATCAAATAAAAGGCCCAAATTTATTGTTGCACAGGGTCTTTGATGTGTTAGCTAGGACCGGCCCAGTTCTGCTCGCTCTCTCTTCTGCCACACAACTTGCCTTCTCTTCTCCTCTTTGCATTCGTCTCATTCGTCTCTTATATATACCTTGGTTTACAGTTTCGAGGTGGAAGGAGTGAAAGAAAACTTCTTCCACGTTTTTGAAAATATGTGAACATCAATAAAACGAATAAATGAGTATATTGCCCAAAAAGAACTGCTTCTCCAATCAACGAGAAAAGAGAGGTTCATTTGTAAATATCACATTTCTTATGCATTTCCATTACAATGACATTCAATAATGGTTACACAATAATAAAAATTTCAACTGAATTTTTATTAAGCAATTTGATGTTAACCTACTGGAGCACTATAAAAAGGGAGTATTATAGAGCTATCTTGGTATAATCTATTGAAATTCGAGATGAAATCAAGGGCTGTATTCAATCCTCGCTCCCAATTAATATTTTTTAAATAGATACTTTTTATTTACTTACACATCACTCACTAAATCATAGCGTACTTATTTAAACTAAACACATTGAAATTACCATTGTATGCGAAAAAAGAGATAATCTAATTGGTCATTTTGTAGATAAGTCGGATGTAGTTCAAAGAGGAGCATTTGAATCATTGACAATTATTATTTTACTTTTAGGACCGACTTATACTTTATAGTCTTCAATTCACTTATTATATTCCAATTTTTTAAAATGTAGAATTCTAAAAAGTTATTTACTTTCATGTTTGATGAGATTATGATAAAAGTAAATGCACCAATTTAGTTTTCCCGTGCGTATGCACTGGTACTATACTAGTTATACATAGAAACTAGAAAAGAATAAGAACCTCCATCTTTCTTGTTTTCTTTCCAAATTTGACCTCTATTTTCTTTCTTATTTTCTTTCCCTAGAACCGTGTGATTGCATATATATGACCCAAAACACATCAAACGTCCCATATGGGAATGAGGGGATGGTGTAAATCATATTGAAATTGGTAGAGTTATTTCCATTTTAAACATAAACCATTAATTTTGATACAAGCTTTTACAAAGCCACTTGTTTTAGTAAGAAATAATCAAGAAAACAACTTACGGAGTACATGGGAACAACGGGATAAGCAAAAATTTGGCCGTTTTTACTTTTCCCACGAGGAAGACAAGCAAGATCAATTATGCTATATAAGTAGTCTAACATGGATGGGTAGGAAGTCTAGCGAGCAAGGTTGGTCTAAGTCCGGGAAAGAAGGTGAGGAAGACGAGTGAGAAGGAAGATAAAGGTATGGAAGAAATGAGTATACTCCGTCAAGTTAATGGATAGGCTATATTCGTTTAGGGGTAAAACAAATATTTAAAATTAAATTATTTAATTAATTTACTTCAGTGGCTGTGAATAGCAATTTTGTTGCTGTGAATAGAATTATCCATACAAAAATTATTATTGAACATTTTGCAAACGTCCAATAACAAAAGCATAAATAATAAAAATTCCTGATTTATCAAACAATTTGAATGAAAAATGAAAATATAAGACTGTATCGAATTGACATTTAATTTTACTTGTAGTATGGACTAGGAACTTATGTTTTGTTTTCAATCCTAGATCAGATCAGACTAGACCAATTCAGACCAGACTTGTATAATTAAAAAAATACAAAGAGACCAGATCAATTCAGACCAGATCAGATCAGACCAGCTAATTACAGTCCAAGTAAAGACATTAGAAGTGTACAAACACTACTACGTCATAGTGTACTACACTAATATGAAGCATGTTTTTTCTTGCGGTGTTAATGCAGAAGTTAGATTAAGGCACGAAACGAGAAGGCTGCTTTTGATTCTTTGATTATAACAATATCTTGAGTTGAGATTTTCATGATAGATTCATTCACTATGGGATATGAAATTACACAAATACCCTGTCTTTGGCAAGATAGACAAATAGTCTCTGCATATGTGGGTTTACAAAAACGATACCTACCCCCTCTCTGAATATCAGTATAAGAGTATAAGACTTCCAAAAAAAGTAATCAATTTTAACCAAATTTTGATAAAGTTTATGAAGCTCCATCCATTCGTGTAGTGTGCAAGTCTAGTTCTGAAATGTTTTTCATAAACTTGATATGAATACAATAAATATATAATTATCGAATTGCAGTTAAATCTGCCAAAAGAAGAATCAATATTTGAACTGTGTATTACATGAATTAACTTAATACTATCATAGCATCCATAGGGAAGTCAATTCCCGCTTACGGACATGAGAGCAAGGAAGGTTGACAGAGACGCTATTATCTTCCAAATCAAAAACATACATGTTTCTGTCGTCGTCTTCCAAGAAATATATGCAATTGGCTCTCAAACCTGAGTTCTTGTCATTACTGTTAATGCAAAATATGCCTCCATGACATCCAAGGAAAATGGTACGTTCTCCTATACTCTTCATCTCCACCCATTTTCGGGCACATAAATCTGCTTTGAAAACTCTAATCTTTTCAACAGGGTAATAACTTGGGTAATGATTGGGGCGATTATATGTAGTTAGCCCAAGATAAATTTTGGCAACTAGTAGGATTTCACCACAACTTTCAGTAATATAGCCCCTCATCCGCAAGTCATATTTAGTTCTTGATGACAGCTTATAAGTAAACTTATCATTTATCAATTCATGAAATTCAACATCATTTCCATTGAAGTCGATACGTACCAAAGTAGTGGTGTTCATCAACCCATACATCTTCCCATCAAAATTTGTCATGGACTCTAACCTCTCCTCTTCAAATGATGTTAATGTCTTCATCTTAAATTCGGTGTCTCCAATTTTGCAGAAGTCAAAAGACATAGTGTGGTCATAATCAACCAAGACAACGTAGCAATTAGGATCGCGAGGATTGGACGAAATACAAGCAAAATTACGCCTTAATAAACCATAATCTGGATCCGGGCGACGATACATGCATAGTTCTGATTTCGGGAGCTGGATCATCGCATGTGAGTAAAGATTTGCAAGCGCAACACCTCGAGTGTCACAATCTTGCAATACCATCCATCCATCCCTATTGGCGCCGCCGCTGATCACATACTTGCTATCCATGAAAGATGTGTCAATTTTGTAGTAACACTGCTCTGTGATGTTATAAAGTATGCCATTTTCATTTTGATGGAAAAATAGCAAAGGCTGTTGCGGTGTTGGAAAATAAGGGCGATGGCACAACTTTCTTTCAGCATTACTTGATGTTAACTCCATAGCTCTATCACTCAAGTCAATGGCTGTAACCTGAAAGTGAGTAATATTCCCATAACTGACTTATTTCCTGTTATTAAATAAAAAAAGGCACACACGTCCAAAGGGAAATTGCATCTGGGGCTTGGATTCAGTTTCAGAAGTGCAACACTACTGACTCAATATACGAGCTCTATACCAAACAGATTATATTAATTAAAGTTCAACTGATCCAAACAGACGAATTTGTAAGACCCACCCAACAATTGCACGCAACGTATAGATGATTGGCTATTGTGCTTATTCTAGTTTGAAAATTAGAACTCATTAATACTTTAATAGGAGTTTTTTTCCTAAATAATGTTGACTAAAAAATTATTTACAAATTTATTGTTGAGCAAAAAATATACTTCCTCCGTTCCTTTTTAATTGCAACCGTCAACATTTCACGTTTGCCAACGCACAAGTTTGACCATTAATATCTTTCATTCCGTATTAGTAAAAAATTTAAAAAATTCATATTTTGAAAATTTAGAATGAGAAGAATTTAACAATATTTTTTAAAAATTTAATTTATAATACATCAATTAATAAAATGTAGTCAAAGTAGAATATGTGAATAGAGCAAAAAGTCCAACGTTGCAACTAAAAGAGAACGGAGGTAGTATACCAAAGTACTGACAATGCCAAATCATAGTTAACGAGAATCACCATCCCATTTGGCGACTCACATTTAAAGTGCTATAACTTTTTCATTTTTGCTCTATTTTTTATAAAGAGAAAATTATCCACCATATGACTAAAACTATATGTCTTTCCCAACATATGACTCTATAGTTATTATTCCCAATAAATGACTACTACTTATCAGTTATCATCTCACGTGCATGATCATTTATTCTTCTTTTTTTAATATTTCAGCGGCTGCCCTCTACTAGTATTTATTTGTTCCTATTTAGTCGCCTAACTGATATGCACGTCTCTTCTACTAGTTACCAATTAATTAGGGTGTCTATGAATTAGTATTCCTAAAAATAAGTAGTTTATTTAATATGGTAACCGCTTCCTTAATTATTACGGAGTAGTATGTACTTGTATTTTATATTTTTGGAAACCCACAATCGATTCTCTTCATAATACCTGCGTATTTGTAATTTTAGGTACAAATAAAGTTATTGCCACCTATGCCATATTGCCATTTACTGCCCTCTTGCATAATTAATGCCCTATTACACATTTACTTCCTTTTTGTGTTTACTGTCTATTTCATTTATGGAATGCAATGATTTACCATTCCAACGTATATAAATATTTTATTTATTGTCCTTAAGTTACTGACTTACTGCCTATGTCAATACAACTGTCATTACATATTTACTGTCATTTGTAAATTTATGTTCTATTGTTGTTATAATTTATTGCCCATTTATTTATTGTTCTCTAATTATTGCCTATACATACCAGTCAACATCTACTTCCATAATTATTGGCGCATGTTTCTCAAACTGTAACTCTTCTCTTTCTCAATGCCTATTTAATTATAAGGGTATTATTGTTATTTCCCTAATTATACCGTCCATGCGTACATGATTTTAATGATATGTAGTCATACCAAACATACAAAAACATAGTTAGTCATACATTAGGAAAACGGTTGTGTTTTAGTAATATCTACGTATTTAACCCTTTTATAAAATATATATCAAAATTCATAATTTTTTATGATCTTTCATTTGACATCAATATTGTATATGTAAATTTTTTTAAAAAAAATAAGATCTATTAAACAACATTCCAATTCGCTAAATAAAACAACCACATTTTCTGACCTTGATACGAATTATTTATTACTCCCTCCGTCCCCTTTAAATGGGACGGGAGATGGTGGCACGGGTTTTAAGAAAAGTGAGTTTGTGTGGTTGATATTAATTGATAAAGTAAGAATAAAGTAAGAATGATTTTGAGCCACACAAAGTTTACCAAATAAGATATGGGACAATTAAATAGGGACATCCCAATATGGTAAACCGGGACATTTAAAAGGGGACGGAGGGAGTATTAAATAAATAAATAATTTCTAATATGTGACCAAAATAAGGATTATGCATGATAATTCACTTATTAACATTTGTTAACTATAATTATGTTTAAATTTTATATTGAAGTCGCTATAAAAGTGTACACCTATTCAATTAGTCACACTTTTGTTTATAATATTCATCTTAGTAATTTTTAAAAAAAAAACTTAAATAAAAGAGACGCATTAAATAATTGAGAAAATGATCACAAATATTACTAAAAAATACGAAGTATGTTTTTCTAGGATACGATTACTAATGGATCTTACTGGAGTGATATCAGCATTCATCTATGCATGTATTAATTAATACTCATTCTTTTTTAGTCGTGACTATCTATTTAGCTGTATCAATTTTTTCCTATCTTTATACAACTTGCATAAATTTTGATGCTAATAATATCTCCCTATTAGAGTATTCAACACCTTTTGATTTCTAATGATATCTCTATATTTTTGTTCAAAATCATTATTAAAAAATAGGAATAAATATTATTAGATGGATGATGTCATTCTAATAAAAAAACATAAGCAGTCATATTCTAGAAGAACACATTAATTTTAGTAGTATTAGTTATAATTTTCTCCATTATTTATTGTTTCTACTCCCTCTGTATTTAAAAGTTTGTTATATTTTGAGGCTATTTGGTAACACTATTTTTCGGCTTATCAGGCTTATCAGCCAATTTTATCACCAAACATGTGACTTTTGTTTTCGCGCACTGAATTGTGTGATAATAAGATAAAGTACGGTCAGAGTTACTTTTCTGGCTGTATTGGCTGAAGTTACTGTAGACAACTATTTTAGCTATTTTACATATATTTTTTCTTTGTTTTAGTAATAAAATATATTTTAAAAATAAATTTTTTAAATCAACAGAATCAGCCAATGCAGCCACTTCTGCCAGAACTTCATAAATTTCAGCAGAATCAATCAAATCAGCCGATATTCTTGTTAACAAAGGGCTCTTTATATTTTGGGATGTATTCCAAAGTTTACTACACTTTCTCTTTTCTCTTTTGGCAAGTGTTTCCTATATATAAAAATACTCAACTACCCTTACTTTTCTTATTTTTATCTTATTTTTCCTACTTTTTCATTTTCTCTCCTAATTTTTCTACACTATTCAATTATCATTACTATTTCCCCTTAAATACGGAGAGAGTATTTTGTTCAAGTGTTTTTCCTACAACATCAGGTTGTTAGATAAGCTTAATTTTTTAAAATTTTTTACATATGCAATATTGGTGTCATATTGGTGTCATATGAAATGTCATATGCAATTTTGATATATGTTTTATAAAAAATGGAACAAAAATGAAAAAGTTATAACACTTTAAAGAGAAAAACTGTTTTTTATATTCTAGGCCCCACTAACTGCTCTCTCTTCCACAGCTGGGTTGCTTCCGCTAGTTCTTAAACGTGAGTCGCCAAGTGGAATGGCGTAAGGTGAGAACTCCGGTACCCATTTAAAAAATGGGATACCGTACCTATCATTCTTTTGATTGGTCCAAGTAGGTATATCATTTTTAATTTAGAGTTAAATAATTCAACTGCAATATTCTGATTGGTCCATGTGGACAAAGGTGTGGTACCTTTTGGGTACCATAAAATCTACCTTCTTGTAAACTATGGTTTGGCTCTGGCAGTATTTTGGTATATCTTTTTAACTCAACACTAAATATGTAATTAATTTTTTATTCAACACTATTGAGGAAAAAAACTCCTCTAATAGTATTACGCAGAATCAGATGAATACATGAACGGTTGCTATTTTATACTGTACTTTTCAGCCTGATAAACATGCTCTTCCTAGCTGCCCATTGCTTGTCCGACATCCTCAATCAATTAGAATTATTTGCAGAAAAACGACCAATTCCACATGTTGTCAAATTGAACTAACGATGTATGGTCATGAGTGATTAGAGGCGTATGCGATTAACGCCGTATGAAAACCTACGATTTTTTGCGCAGTCTAAGCGTACGCGTGATCGATGAATTGAAACAATAATAATTTCAATATGTAATTGAAAAAACTTACCCCAATCCTCTGTATCAATGTCTCTGCTATTTGCTTGTTCTGCAACCGTCACAACTCCTCCTCCACCTCTATAACCGCCGAACCTCTGACAGATTTGGAATATATCAGATGAGAAACACACGAAGAATAAGAATAAAGTGTTCTTGCCAAGGAGTATACCGATATTATAGTATCAGTCAACAATAAGGTAAAGAGGAAGTTTCCTAGTTTTTCTTTTTTTTTTTATCGTGAGGAAGTTTCCTAGTTAATTACTACTAGTACAATAATGGAGAATAAAAACATAACATAAATACTCCGTAAATATATTCCAAATCTGTAGTGATACGAGTTCGTATATCCTACACCCGGGTGTACGGGTGAACCGTACATCAGAAAGTTTACCCGGGTCTATTTCTAATTTAAATGAAGCTCCAACCCAATTTCAACAAAGTTTAGTGAATCTGACGAAGGCCCCCAAAAAAGGCTCAATTAAATCTGAAAGACAATCCATTTAACTGATACAGTCTAATTTTTTTCGGTGGCTTTTTGTAGTTTAAGCGAAAAATCACGGCTACCGCTAAATGAGCAATAGTGCACTTTAAGTGAGCATCTGACTTATTTTATTGAATATTAAGAGACTAATAATGAGTATCACGATCTCTGCTTCATATCTTCGATCTCTGCTTCATATCTTCTAATTCTTTTTCTTATTTTTTCTTTTATAAAAACTTATTAAATTATATCTATAATTCACTCTTATTAATTTCAATGTGCGAGTCTAATGTAATATGATACTTTTGAAATATACATTGATATTACATTGTAAAAATGAGTATAACATCAGTACCAAATGAGTATACATAACTTAAAAGCTAACATTTAAACGGAAAATTATGTCTCTCGTATGTAGTGTTTTTGGATATAACAAGATAAGTTTGCTAATAATTGAGCGGATGAATTTTCTCTCATATGTAAGTAACAATTGAGCGAGAAAATTTTAGTATAAGTTAAGATAAGTCATCAAACAATTGAGCGGAAATTTTTTTTCTCCCATATGTTGTACTTGTAAATATAAGAAGATTAAGACACAAGTCGTGTAACAATTGAGCGAGAGATTTTTCTCCCGCTCAATTGAGCGGGATAAGTTTCTCTCTCATATGTAGTTTTTTATGTATTAGAAGATAAACTTGCTAACAAGTGAACGCAATAATTTTCTCTAACATATATAGTATTTTAGTGCTAAGAATTGAGAGAATAATTTCTCTCTCCCATATATAGTACTTTTAGATCTAATAAGCCGGCTAACATTTAAACGGGAAAATTATGTCTCTCATGTGTAGTGTTTTTAGATATAACAAGACAAGTTTGCTAATAATTGAGCGGATGAATTTTCTCTCATATGTGCTATTACGTATTACAAGATAAACTTGCTAACAATTGAGCAGACAAATTCTCATATATGTAATTCTTATATATATATATATATATATATATGGGAACTCTTCCGGTAAGGTATACCTTACCGGAGCCGCCGTGCGACCTCCACGTTTTGAGGGCCTTCCCGGTGGAATTTTTTGATGAAATTTTTTGAGCATTTTACTCATCAAGTCTAGTACATCCATACCCAATTTCAGCAAAAAATTCAATCGGGAAGGCAAACAAATGATTTTTGGAAGATAACTACACCCTTTATATACATATAAAACGCAGTTATCTTACAAAAATCGTTTCGTTTGACTGCCTTCCCGATTGAAGTTGTTGCTGAAATTTGGTATGGATGTACTAGACTTGATGAAGAACATACTCAAAAAAATTCATCGAAAAGTTCCACCGGGAAGGCCCTCAAAACGTGGAGGCCGCACGGAGGCTCCGGTAAGGTATACCTTACCAGAAGATTTTCTTATATATATATATATATATATATATATATATGTATATATATATATATAAGATAACCCCGACTAACAATTGAGTGGGATAATTTTCTCCCATATGTAGTTCATTTTTATATAAAATAAGCCGACTAATAATTGAACAAGATAATTTTCTCTCTCACATGTTACCACTAATTTAACTAATGAGTAGCAAGTTCTTATTTAACTAATATGTACTCCGTAGTATTCCTTAATTTAAATGTTTATTGTAGTCACTTTTTTAGAATAGTATTAAATTTTAAAATTAATTCAATCATGAAAATTAATACAACAAATTCTAATGAGTGCGTGGTGTTAATTATTTTATTTATTGTATGGACCCATACCTAACACCATAAAACTTATGATATTAGCTTATTCTGCTCTTATTTTTCGAAAATGAAGAATCATACAAAGTTATTTGTCTTTTAATATTTAATTAGATAATGAGTAAATATATACGCACCAACTGATCTTTCCCGTGCGTATGCACGACCCTATACTAGTTTTCACTATACTTTTTACTACTTATAAATATTTATACATATGTATATACATCACAATTTTTTTCTTGGAGGGGCCACGGCCTCCAAGAAAAATATAAAAAACAACAAGTGTTCAAATGCAGTAAAGGAACATGTAAACTAGAAATCCTGGTTTTACCAGCAACCAGCAAAGGAGAAGAGGTTTTATCCATCACCTCCAAAGACAACGATCCGACTTGACCATCCATCGGCCATCCATCGGGAAGGGAGAAGAGGTTTTATCCTCCACCTCGAAAGACAACGATCCGACTTGACCTTCCATCGGGAGGTGGATGTTATGCATTTAGTTCGCGAGTTTCTACGAGAAAACCTCTTGATGAAACTTGTTAATTTTTTTTGATAACTGCCCTTTTATCTGCGCAGTTTTCAAGAATTCATTTGAATGTCTTCCCGATTGAAGTTTGATACCAAATTTGAACTAAAACTTCAATAGGGATTTTTTGATAACTGTCCTTTTAACTGCGCAATTATCTTCAAGAATTCATTTGAATGCCTTCCCGATTGAAGTTTTAGTTCAAATTTGGTATGAGTAAACTAGACTTAATGAATAAGATGCTCAAAATAATTCATAAAAAAAATTCACCAAAAACCGCCCCAAGATTTGCAATTTGGTGCTTTTATTATATTGTTGGCTGACAATAAAGTTAAATCTTTTGGACGGACAATTAAATCTGTTTTACTGATTAAGACTAAGAGCCCGTTTGGAGAACTCTGTTTTCGGCTTATCAGGCTTATCAGCCAGCTTTTTCACCAAACACATAACTTTTACTTTCGCGCGCTGAATTGTGTAATAAGCCGAAAAAGTAAGGTTGGAGTTACTTTTCTGGCTGTATTGGCTGAAGTTACTGTAGAGGACCATTTTAGCTATTTTTACATATAATTTTTTCTTTAATTTATTAATAAAATATATTTTTAATATATTTTTTTTCTTAAATCAGCAGAATCAGCCAAAACAGCCACTCCAGCCAGAATATCATAAATTTCAGCAGAATCAGCTAAAAGAGCCGATTTTGGTGCTACCAAACGGGCTCTAACTATATTGAAAGATCCACCAAGTCGCAAATTCCAAATTAATTTATAATAAAAAAATTGATATCCTAAATACAGTACCCTTAAGGTACCATAATTTAAGGATCATTTCATATGTATACATGCAACAAGTCAATGTAAAGTTCGATGGAGAAATTGGGAAGGAAACTGAGACACATAATTTAAGAGTCATTTCATATGAATACTGGATCTGCTTTTGAGTTTGATTTTGGAGTGGTATCGTATCAAAGAATGATGAACACCTAAGAGATAGACCCGCTCCTTAAGTATTTCGAACCTACAATTTTTATTACTAACTCCTAGTCATGGATTCGGGTTCGGGACGAGTCTGGGTCAGGCCTAAGCCCGGCCGGGCTTTTGATTTTTGGTAGAAGGCCCGGGACCGGACCGGGTTAACACCGGGTCCGGGCTGGGTCGGGCCTAGGCCCGTTTTTTTCTTTTCTTATTAACCCCCGACCCCCCACCCCCAAATAGTTTGATGTCAACTAGTTATTCCACCTGTGCGTTGCACGGGAGTGAAGTATCTACCTACATTGAAATTTAGGTGAATTATAAAGGTACAGAGTACTACGTAATAAATACCCTCTCCGTCCCATAGAAAGGTTTCCACTTTCCTTTTTTGAACGTCCCATATAAATATTAACAATTAACAATCTGAAATCACAAGTTAATCATTAAATATTTAAAATAATACATTTATAATATCACAGTTATCAACTCTAACTTCATTATATTGTATTATATAATATTATATATACCTATTAAAATTATTTCTCAAAATATACTCAAAATACCTTATTTAATTATTTCTAAATAATCATGTCGTTTTGTCACTGAAACCTTTCAATGACACAGAGGTAGTACCTAATAGTGAATCAATTAACCAAAATATTATATAAAATAAGATGACATATTTGGAATATTTTTATTTGGATTGAAATTTTATGGTCTGATCTAAAATGATTTGGTATGGTAGATGTCTAGTATTTTACAATTGTCGAAATCTGAGCTGGTCTGATCTGAAATGGGACTAAAATAAATCCAAACATCCTTAATAGAAAATTTAAAAAGAAAAAGATCCCCCAAGTTAAATGTAAACCATCATAAGATGAAATATGAGCTCATATGTCTACCAAACTACCAAAAGAAACTACAAATTACTATAAACTTCTTTTTATAGAGCATTGAATGCATACTTGGTTAGCATCACACCCAAATGCATTTTTGGGGTGTTTTTAAATTTTTGACAGCTTTAGCATCACAAAATGACGTGGATATTACGCAAATGACGTGGATAATAATGATGTGGATTAAAACGATGACTAGGACATACACGTGGATTTCCAGCGGACATATGGCATTTTTTGGTCGGAATATTGAATGGTACCGCCGGTTGCAACATTTAAACGGAATTGAGGTACTGATTTGCTTCATTAAAGAGTTAAGGTACTAAAATGCAACATTACCAATAGTTATGGTACTATTTATGCATTTTAGTCACGAAGAGATATCGGTGAAAAGAAAATTAGGGAAGGGAGATTGATATTTTTAAGTGAAGGGGTGAAGGGCGTGGATCATTCTTAGGTGAACGACTAAGATCATTTTGTATTGCTATTGAGTATAAGGATTTTTAATTTTATTCTCTTAACTAGGATGCCAATTTTTAATCAAATTATAGTTTGGAGTTTGCAACTTTTAAAAGATTTTAATGTAGTTTCTGAACGTGTAAATTTTAATTATTAGAAATTGAATTAATTGATAATATAGAGGATTGATTTTTATTATTGTTTGACCAAAAAATGTTGACTTTGCAAAACAATTTGGGACGGAGGAAGTATAAACAATGTCAATTATATCTGCTGCAATTGTTAATGATATTAAAAGTGATGGTAGACAAAGCAGAGCAATAGCCCAGGGCAAACCTGGAGCGAGACATAGAACTAGCTAGCCTCGAAAGGCTGTGCCAGATCGCTAACTCCACAATATGGTAGGCTATACTATCAGCATTACTGGACTTGCTACTAGAACAAAAATATAAAAAACAACAAGTGTTCAAATGCAATAAAGGAATATGTAAACTAGAAATCCTGGTTTTACCAGCAACCAGCAAGAGAGAAGAGATTTTAATCATTTTATCCACCATCTCCAAAGACAACAATCCGACTTGAGTACTTGACCATCCATCGGGAAGGGAGAAGAGGTTTTATCCACCACCTCCAAAGACAACGATCCGACTTGACCATCCATCGGGAGGTGGATGTTATGCATTTAGTTTGCGAGTTTCTACAAGAAAACCTCTTGAATAAACTTGTTAATTTGTTTTTGATAACTGCCCTTTTATCTGCGCAGTTATCTTCAAAAACTCATTTGAATGCCTTCCCTATTGAAGTTTGATACCAAATTTGAACTAAAACTTCAATAGGGATTTTTTGATAACTGCACAATTATCTTCAAGAATTTATTTGAATGTCTTCCTGATTGAAGTTTGATACCAAATTTGAACTAAAACTTCAATAGGGATTTTTTGATAACTGCTCTTTTAACTGCGCAGTTATCTTCAAGAATTCATTTGAATGCCTTCCCGATAAAAGTTTTAGTTCAAGTTTGGTATGAATAAACTAGACTTAATGAATAAGATACTCAAAAAAATTCATCAAAAAATTTCAATGAAAACCGCCCCAAATATCGTCGGCCGGACAGAGCATCCTATATAAGGCCTTATTTGACCTTTTTATGTAAGTTCGGGGCCCTATCTGACCCTTTTCCCAAGAATGTTTATTTGATAGTTTATAATTCCTCCGTCCCAAGATTTGCAATTTGGTGCTTTTATTGTTGGCTGACGATAAAGTTAAATCTTTTCGACAGACAATTAAACCTGTTTTACTGATTAAGACTAACTATATTGAAAGATCCACCAAGTCACAAATTCCAAATTAATGTATAATAAAAAATGATATCCTAAATATGGTACCCTTAAGGTAACATAATTTAAGGGTCATTTCATCATATGCAGAGCCGGTCCTGACAATTTATAGGCCCGGGGCAAAATACAAAAATAGGCACCTAATTATATAAGTAGTATGTTGTAAGAATATATTACAAAAGTTTCATTATCAAAAATAAAATTCGTTACACAACTAAATGTTTTTGTTAATAAAACTACTTGGTATCATAAGTCATACAAAAACAAATTTTTAGGCATTCTTAAAGGAAAATTGTCGATGATAATATCATCTTTAATTTTCGGCTTGTGTGAGGAAAGTTGAAAGTCATTCAATTGTATCTCATGAGTAGTTGTGCTGTTGTGGCTCACTCTATGGATATGAGGGTTGAGGGGTATCTTTGACGAAGTGTTAGAGTATAAGAAAATGATCTGGTCAGAAGCACCTGACAAAATGATCTGGTCGATTTTTTTGATAAAATTTTGTTAGCATGTTCTTCACAAAGATTAGATTATTTGCACAAAATTTCAGTTTTGAATTCAATTGAGAAGTTAGGTAAATAAATTACAAAAAACATTGCGCTTTTTAAACAAATATAAAGAGCATTTTTTTTCAATATTTTATTTAACGGACTTCCTGATGGAATTTTAAGCTCAAATTATGTGGACATAATCTACACTTAATGAAAAACATGCTAACAAACTTTCATGAAACAGTTTCATTTCAAAGCACCTCAAATGGGTTTGGCCGTACATAATTCCCGATCAAGCGCGTCTTAGGTGAACATAATTCAATATGCATACTACTACTACTAAATGATTTGCGGGCCCCTCTTTCGGGTGGGCCCTGGGCAGCCGCCCATCCTGCCCCTATATCAGGACCGGCCCTGATCATATGTATACATGCAACAAGTCAGTGTAAAGTTCGATGGAGAAATTGGGAAGGAAACTGAGCCACATAATTTAAGGGTCATTTCATATGAATACTGGATCTCCTTCTTAGCTTGATTTTGGAGTGGTGGTATCGTACAAAGAATGATGAACACCTAAGAGATAGAGTGATAGACCCGCTCCTTAAGTATTTCGAACCTACAATTTTTAATACTAACTCCTAGTCATGGACTCGGGTCTGGGTCGAGTCCGGGTCAGGCCTAAGCCCGACCGGGCTTTTGATTTTTGGTAGAAGGCTCGGGACCGGCCCGGGTTACCACCGGGTCCGGGCGGGTCGGGCCTAGGCCCGTTTTTCTTTTCTTTTCTTATTAACCCCTGACCCCTCACCCCCAACCCCCCCCCCCCCCAAAACACCCAACCCAACTCAGGAAAAAGCCCAAAACAATGAAAAAACAAAAAAATAAATAAAGCCCGAACCACGTCGATTCCAAAGAATGGTGTGAACCGGGACCGCCCCACCCTAACCCCTAGGACCGGGCCTATGCCCGGAACCAAAACCGTTTCCCGGGCCGGGGGCCCGACCCGGGTCCAACACTACTAACTCCGTCCCAAATTGATTTGCAAATTTGACCTTGTTTAGTCAAACAGTTTAATTTTATTCTCTTAATTAGGATGCCAATTTTTAATCAAATTATAGTTCGGAGTTTGCAACTTTTAAAAGATTTTAATGTGGTTTCTGAACGTGTAAATTTTAATTATTAGAAATTGAATTAATTGATAATATAGAGGATTGATTTTTATTATTGTTTGACCAAAAAATGTTGACTTTGTAAAACAATAAGATATTGCATTTTAATTGACGAAAGCACAAGGACAAGACCACGAAAGATGAAATGGTACAACAGCTTAAGCATGATTTACCACCTTAATAGTGCTACAGAATTACACCAACAAATTTTCATACCCAAAAGGGTATTTATAAGTTTTTTTGATACATATTTCTGGAGAGCAAATCACAGGAGAGCAAATCAACAAATATGGCGCGGAAATCAAAGAAATTGCAGAGCGGGCGTAAGAAGAAGAAGAGCACATCAACCAACAAAGTAGGCTGCCTCTGTAAGCTCTGCGGCCGGACCATTTATGGCGTCGATGAATGGACATGGCATGTCTTAGATTGCAAGGTATCTCCTCTTTGTTCACTCGAGTAATCTGCCGCCCCATCTGTGAATGTAAAGTTAGATATTAATCAGTCCACTCGATTAATCTGCCGCCCCATCTGTGAATGTAAAGTTAGATATTAATCAGTGTCCACTCGAGTAATCTGCCGCCCCATCTGTGAATGAAAAGTTAGATATTAATCAGTCCACTCGATTAATCTGCCGCCATCTGTAAAGTTATATACTTCGTATTAATCAGTCCACTCAATTATATTCTCCAGGCCAAAGAGGCACAGAGAATCGCTACTGCTGCGAGACTGAATAATCAGAATCGCGCAGCACAACAGGTATACTTTGTCTCCTGAACAGCATATTAGAAAATGAAACTGAAATTTCAAATAATTTCTGGAAATTCCTTTTGTAATTAATTATTATATTTTCTCCATTATATTAGGAACAAGGATAACCTATCCATTAAAGTTCAAGGATAACAACCCAGGTATGTTCAACGAGTTATCAAATATGACATATTGAACATCATATTGAACTAAATGCATTACAAAGTCATCTTTCTCAATAACAAAGTCACAATCTGCAAAAATAAAGCCATGCTTCACAAAAACAAAACACCAGGTAGGGTCTGTCTTTTATACAATGAAAGTATGAAATGATAATAAGAAGATATATATATATATTAAAGAGACCTATAAAGTATTGAATGATAGAGTCCTGGACCTATGAGCTTAATATTTTAATAAAATGTAATAGTGGGCTGTGCCAAGTAATTAGATAGATTGAGGGAAGCCTCAGTTGGAAAAGAATAAATAGAGGAATAGAGGAGGGGGAGGGTAGGCAGATTTTGGGATAGGGATTGGGAAATTGGGAGCGTGAGGCCGCTCGGAGAGTCTCAACCTTTTCTTACGTTATTTTGCTGTATTCCAACCTTAAATCTTCATTAACATACTACTTCTATCGACTGGGATTCCTCCGTTACCTATCATTGGTATCAAAGCAGTCGACTCAGGGAATCTTCCTTCTACATTCACACGATTAACAAATGGAGCAAGGCAGGAAACATAAGGTGGAGAAACCCGAACATGCAGATCAGCTTTTTAGAAGATTGCCTTTAGCTACTTCAAATACATCACTTAAACTCCGGATTTTTTTACAAAAATATTACTACAAAAAACATATTTACAAAAATATGACTATTTATTACTACAATGTGGTGTTGTGGTAACTTAAGCTCAAAGCTTGAACATGAATTACTATGATTTCATTACTACTCTAGTCACTAGTCATATTTTTGCAAATCACCTTTATTTTGGTCATATTCATGTAATTATTTCTTGTTTATAATTTTACATATTTTTAAAAGTTTTAAGATTATTTATTTAATACTTTTTTCTTTCATTTTTACAAATTTAAATATTACTATTACATAATTTTTTCAAGTTTATATGAATTTTTATAAAATTTACGAATTTTCGTAAGTTTATATCTCAAACATTACCAGCTATAGCATGGCAAATTGGCTCGAGTGATACTTTTTGTAATACAAGGGCTCAGCGAATGAATTTTGAAATATAGTAAAAGAGCCTATTTTCCCCTTTTCCCAAAATACCTATATTGAAAATATAGTCCCCTTATTTTAAAATTGGGAAAAGGATTTTTGAAAGATTGAAAATGTGATTTCCCTAAAATAATTATATGAAAAATTGCACATCCTCTTGTGTACTATACTAGTTTTTGAATTAAAAGAAAACGACATAAAAAGAACAAAACAATTCAATGAATTCAATGAATGAAACTAAATGCAGATTATGCAACATACCCAGAAAGATGAGGAAGTTCAGTTCAAACGCAGTGAACTATTGTGTTGTAATAATTCTCACTTGAAAAACTCTTGGGAAAGTTGTGCCACTTCTTCGATGCAAGGCAATAAAACAACCCTTTACCGTCGTAAAACCTCGGAAAGAAGATCTTGTTTCCTGTCCCGCTAACGGTTGTTTTCCGCGATATGGATGTCCTATGAGACACATAAAATGATTTCCCATTTAGATTCTCTATCTTCCGCCAAATCTTATTATAATCATCGAATCTCAACACCCGAACTTCACCGCCCTCCAGAGTTGCAACACATTAGATTGCCGTCACTCTCCAAGAGAAACCGATCTTGAAATTTTAAAAACTGCTTTTGATTATGCTTGCCAATGATCTTCCAGTTACAGTCTTCCCCCTTGGGCTTAAGCCAAAACTTTCCTAGATATCCAGATTCCCCTAGAACATAAATGAATCCATTGCACACAACAGGGGGGCAATTGGAAGCAAAAAAATCGTCACCTTCATTCTCAAGGACATACATTGACCAGTGTCTCACCCACTTGTAACGTTCCAATTAAAAGCTTAGATGTAATACCACTATAAATGCCAAATACTTTACACCCGGCAGATGTTGGTGATCCAGAAAAACATACCCACTCAAACGATTCGCACGAGTCAGGGAGGTCTATTTTAACCTCAGTTGACGGGTTATAGAAAAAATATGACTGCCTACCTTTACCAAGAAGCAACCAGCCACAACTAGCGTGAAAAAGTTCAACTTCACCACTTTCATCATCCAACGAGGGAGGAATGCTAAGTGAATAAGTGGAATTACGTGTTGGGTCGTGGAAGTTGAAGAAGCCGGTTTTCTCGTTGAAGTACATGAGATAGGGGTCATTATATGAATCCTTATCATGTGGGCAATAATGAAGTAATGGCATTGATGATAGAAGAGGAGGCAGAGTTGCTGCTTTCCATGATTTACATACCGACTTGAAAGTAAGATAGTCTCCGATGGCTAAATGTGAGAGTATGGAAGACAACAGGTCCTCGCACAGATTCGACCACTCCCTCTGTTTCTCATCATGAGCTTCATCATCCTTGTTGCTAATTCTGTTGCTGCTAATCATCATCATTATATTTTACTTTATTCGACTTCTCTGATCTCTTCAAATAGCCTCCAATATAACTCCCTGCAAAACACAAAAGCAATGGGTAGGTAAAAAGGATTTATTTCCCAACCGATATTAAATTCAAAGGGTTTTGGCTATGGCCATTATTTCCCTTTATCTATCAGTGTTTTTCAGCCTAGGCTGTCTCGTTCATAAAAAAACTAAAAGTATAACCTACATAAAGAAGATCATGAGAAAATAAATAACAAGGCCAATAAATCAAATATGACTTTAATTTTAACATATATACATAGTCCTATACATCTTCCAATTTTTTAAAATTACGGTTTTGATTAACTGAGAGACTCACATGAATTCTTTGAAAACACTTCAACCTTCTAATATCAAGCTACTTTGAATTATTTAATAACTCTAAATAAAAAACATACAATTACAAGAATCAACTTGCCTTAAGTTTTAAATAGCATTTGTTTACACAAAGAAAAAATTCCTTTAATATTACTATTGCAGAAATGCTGGACAAAAATATTACTAGTTCTCTACCGTTATTTAAAAAGGAAAATAAGATTTTATTGTGTTCCCAATTTATCCTTCTTAAATACATAGTAAATTGTCTCCCCCAAAAATCTCTCTACCGGAGTTTTCAAAGTAGAGCCAAATTCTGCAAAACTTCTTCTGATCTTGATAAACTATCACCTATTTCCGATGTTTTCTCCTTCATAATATATCTCAGATTCTCAGGTAATTAATCACTGCTCCCCAATGTAAACCTAGTAGTATTAGTGCGCTTCGAGAACAACGGGATAAGAAGTAAAGGAACTTTCCATAAATAAGGTACTGTAGCAGGCCCTAAAAATGTTTGACTAGAATTTTATGAACTGATTGTACTCACACAACACATGGTTTCTACTAGGGGTAGATTCGGTTCGGTTCCCAAACCAAAATGGGAAAATTCCAAACCGATTCTTCAGTTTCTCAAATTCCATGAACCTCAACTGAACCGAATATTACTAAAACCCGAATTTTCAGAAACCGAAATTTCGGGTCGGTTTTGGGTTTTGAGGACAAACCGAATGAATTTTGAAAAATTAGACTGAGGCACAACTTTGATGCAAGCTTTGAACGCAGTGGCGAATTTGGGGGCAGTTAGCCAAGGCAACAGCCTTGGGCCTCACATGGCAAGAGGGCCCCAAAATAAAAAAGACCCGTTAGTTTTAGTGATATATGTAAAATAAAATTGACTAATTAGGTACACTCCACATGACCTGCTAGGTGATGCGTTTTCAAAATCCGAAAGTCATCATTTGCTAAGGCCGTAAATCGCAATCCAAACTTGAAGTAGCCTGAAGTAGCATCGAACCGGCACTGTCGCACTGAGTCCGTGAGTTGCCCATCATCCGAACTCCGAACGCCTCTTTGCCGATCTATGAGTCACTTTTCTAAAGTCTAAAGTCTAAACCGTAGTCTGTAATTGATGTAAAATGTAAAGATTAAAGATAAGGGCCTAAAGCAGTATAGCTATAAAGTGGCGGACACGGGGCACTCAAGCAGTAAAAGCAATCCCTGCCTAGCCGCCTTTAAAATTCCTAAATTAATATTAATGAGGTCAATTCATGAATTCAATTCTTAAATTAGTAATTTACTGTTTTAGGTTTTGGTGTTCAATGATTTGTTTGTAGTGATGTTACTACTGATTTTGCACTTCAAGCAAGAAGAATAGGCCAACTGAACAAGTTTGCAAAGTATTTTACATTTATTTGCATTTAAAATTTATCCTTTCGAATATTACCAACAATATATCATATCATGCATTTATCCCAAGTCAACTCTCTATGGAAGGGGCGTATATATAGAGACGCATGAGGACTAAACAATCAGTTTCAATCGGTGTGGCAAATGTTCCAAAGGTTTAGAAAATAAATGAAAAGAAACGGTAGGAGGGGAAAATTGAACCTGTGTTAAGAATTGAGGATGTCTACACTAAACCACTGGACTGCATGAACTAGTTGTTTAAAGTAGGAGCTGTATATTCTTTATTACTACTTTTGCTGCGGAATAATATTTAAATATGCCTTAATAGAATTTCGGTTCGGTTTGAACCGGTTTTAAAACTCAAAAAACCGTCTTTAAACCGATTCATGTTCGGGTCCCAACTTTCGGGTCCCATTCAAGTCGACTCAGTTTTTTTATTGTTCGATTCCGGCTTTCGGGTCCCAGCCCTAGTTTCTACAACCAACTACTCCGTATTAGTTACTAACAACACACACACAAATCCTGATACATGACTACAATTCACTTACCTGAAACAAAGGCATACTGGTCAGTAGTGACTATACGTACTGCTTTGTTGCATCTTCTACATACAAGTTTTAAGAGACATACAAGGACTAACTACACGCTGAACCACACACATTCTTCTCACTGTAGTGAGTACTGAGTAGTGAGTATTACGCTTCATATAAGTTTTAAACACAATCGTAATATTTATACTTAAAGTGACTACATAATCTTGACTCGTAAAAGTGACTGTAAATTGTAATCGTGACTATAACTCACTTAACACTCAAGTACATACTCCGTATAATTAGGCAAATTGTACCTGGGGCTTGGTTTCAGTTTCTGAAAAAGTGCAAGAGTACTGAATCCATATAAAACATCTGACCCAAACTGACTAATTTGTTAGACCCACCAGATTAAGAAGAGCTCCCAGGATGGGGAGGAACATTGCACACAAGGGATACGTGCTTGGCTATTGTGCTTATTCTAGTTTGAAATTTAGAATTTATTAATAGTAGTACGCCGAATTAGATGAATACATGAGCGATTACTATTTTAGATTCAGAACAAAACTTTTAAACTGTAATTTTCGGCCTGACAAATATGCTCTTCCTAGCTACCCATTGTTTGCCCGGCATCCTCAATCAATCTGAAGTGTTTTCAGAAAAAAATGAACATATGAAAATTTGTGATTTTTCGCCTGAGGCGTACGACTTCAGGCGTAGCCTAAATGTACGCAATAGAGAGTGAGCGATGAATTGAAATAATAATTTCAATAAATGGAAAAACTTACCCTAATCCTCTAGTACCAGTGCCTCTGATATTCGCTTGTTCTGCAACCGTCGAAACCCCTCCTCCGCCTCTGTAATCGCCGACCACTCCAACTCTCACACACAACGCACGCTCTGTCTCTCTACGTATCGCAGGTTAGGTCTCCAAGGTTTATTAATAGTTGAAGTATTATTCCGCAGTATTCCTTAGAGCATCCCATTACTTTCTAGTCCAAGTGAAAAATGCAAAATGTCAAATACAGAGTAATTAAAAGGGTTTCTAATTTACTTAATTGGAAGTGGACTGACCGGACATTTAGGTGTGAAAAAAACGTCCAATGCAGGAAGTCTAAGGCCCAAGTCAAGTGTATATGTGACTTTTTTTTAATCATCAAAACATGCCTCTATTCATATAAAAAGATTCAGGATCATTACATCAAGCAAAGGGGAAAAAAACTGACACCAACTGAAACTCCAACAACTACGACTGTAACCCTATGGTGAGACTTTGAGACGGCCACCCCTGAAAGAGCAACACCAATCGCTAACCATGTAGTGGACTTGACACATCCAAACCTGTTCCCATAGATCCAACCATACCCAATGACATAAAGAGATGCTAAAAACTCAAACAAATTGTCAAGACCAACAACAAAGATGAACACAAGAAAACAAATGACAAACAGATAAAAATTACTAGAACAACTCTCACGGACTCTAGCACCTCGTACAACCCATGGTGGTGGTTCAGGCAGGGGCTATATGAGCAAACTTCAGGTAGAAACTACCAAGTTTTACTTTTAGGCTGTTGGTATAATTTCCAGGTTTGCAATATTGAAGAACCTTATGATGTTCACAAATCAGTTTCTAAGTATGATAGTTCTTCTGTTTCATTCATGCAAACCATACCCAATCCAACTTTGTCAAAGCAAGATAGGGATGAATTTGCAAATAAACAGCCATGGTATATATAGTGTGCGGATGGATCTTGTCTTAGTGGCAGTCTTTACCATAGCAGTGATGTATTCAATGGCAATTGTGTTTTGACTGCTGTTCGGTTTTATTACTTGAGATTTCACTCTTATGTACATCATGTGAAGTTCAGTTCAGTTGATCATCCTGTGAGGTGCAGCTTTAGAGTGGTTACTGTCCTACAAGCGGCTCAGATAGGCTCAGATACACTGTGGTTATGAAGAAGATTTTAGAAAGGGATGGTAAATTTTTCACAAACCCTGTTGCTATGGGCCGCTGTTCAGGATCTAGGAACCTGGGCATTGGACCTCTTGCTGTTGGTTTTAGGTGGATGGCTTATACTGGAAATCCAGTTTCTATGCCTGCCTTACTAGAAGGTTCTTTCAACTGTTTGACTAAAGCTGATGGTGTTTGTATGTTATGTTGCCTAGTTATTGCTCTTAACGCAGTTAGATGATGGGACTACGTCAGGGACTTGGAAGCTGTTCTCTTCGCCTGATCTGAATGTTTCTGATCTGAATTTTTTAAGTTCTGATCTGATCTGATCTGAATTTTTCTGATCTGATCTGATCTGATCTGAATCTGTCTGATCTGATCTGATCTGATCTGATCTGATCTGAATCTTTCTGATCTGATCTGATCTGATCTGAATCTTTCTGATCTGATCTGAATGTTTCTGATCTGGTCTGATCTGATCTGAATGTTTCTGATCTGATCTGAATCCTTCTGATCTGATCTGAATCTTTCTGATCTGATCTGATTCGAATATTTCTATGATTATAATTATAATTATAATTATAATTATAATTATAATTATAATTATAATTATAATTATAATTATAATTATAATTATAATTATAATTATAATTATAATTATTATAATTGCAATTACAAATATAATTTAAATAAATTATAATTATAATTGTAATTATAATTACAATATTTATCTCTATAATTGTAACTATAGTTATCAATATTATTATAATTACTCCGTAAAATAATTACAATAGTAATAATAATAATAATAATATTAATAATTATAATAAAAATAATAATTATAATCATAAATTATAATTATAATATAATTATAAGTATAATTATAATTATTATAATTATAATTAATAATAATTATAATTATATTAACATTAATTATAATATTATAATTTAATAATAGTAATATAAATACAATTAATATTATTATAACGATATTATTATATTAATATTATTATTACAATAATATAATAATATTATTATTACAATAATATAATAATAATATGATTATTATTATAATTAGTAATTTAATAATAATATAATAATAATATGATTATTATAATTATTATTATTATTATAATATTATATTATAATTATAATTATAATCATAATTATAATTATGATTGTAATTATAATTATAATTATTATAATTATCATTAATTACAATTATATTTATAATTAATTATAGATATAATTATAATAATTACAATTGATTATACTTATAATTATAAGAATTATAATTGTAATTAATATTATAATTACATATAATTATAATATAATATTATAATAATATTAATCATATTATTATTATTATAATATTGTAATAATAATAATAATAGTCTTCTTAACAATTGCATTTATATTACTATTATTATATTAAAATATTATAACTATTATTAATATCTTTTTTTATCATATTATTATTAATATTATTAATAATAATTATATACTAATAATCATAATAGTAATAACAATATTAATAATAATAATTAATATTTAATATAATAATAAAAATGATAAATCATGTTTGAACTTTTCTGATCTGATCTGAATGTTTCTGATCTGATCTGAATGTTTCTGATCTGGTCTGATCTGATCTGAATCTTTCTGATCTGATCTGAATCTTTCTGATCTGATCTGATCTGATCTGAATCTTTCTGATCTGATCTGATCTGATCTGAATTTTTCTGATCTGATCTGATCTGATCTGAATTTTTCTGATCTGATCTGATCTGATCTGAATAAAATAAGAATAAGCAATAAGTAATAAGAATAAGACGAACAGAACAGCACCTTGGTTGTTAAGTGGAGAAGAGCCTTTGTAGAGGAAGCAGGACGAAAAGTTATAAGCCATGTGCATGGATTTTCACCTATTAATCTGCTAGCAATAAGACTGCAACCTGCAACAAGTTTCTCTGAAGTTGGCAGGCAGCCTTTTAGTGATTCAGAAATATATATAAAGGGTTAAAAGCAGTTGGCAAATGAAAAGGAGTATCTTGCAAAGTTTCCTTACGCCAGTTTGTTATCCACAGTCGAAACGGCAGCATGTTTTGCACCACTCAGGACATTGCTTGAACCTATCAATTCTGGGTCACATGAATACCATTGGGAATCTTCCGTTAATACCATTGCATTGGAATCTGCCCTTGTTCTTAGTCAGTCCTGGTGGGTACTTCATGTCAGACCCCAGGACTGGGGTTATATATATCCGGAGGCAAGAGCTGTTAGCAACGGTAAGATTGAGCAGTTGGGGATGGGTAAAGCTCAGTTCCACCATGAACAAAGCCACTCGAGTAGGAGTGGTGCTCTAAAGGTAGAGGATCTGTTGATTCTTTTGCTAGAAGAAGTGAGGAGGAAGATTCAAGTATGGAAGCCCCTTGTGCAGCAAACTGTAAGGTACTGGGAAGGGAGAGGCAGGAGGATGAAGCGGGATGGCATGGCTGCTTTTGTACTCCCCACCTTGAGGATAAGGTGGGGTTGTCAAAGGGGGGAGTGATGATAGAGACCTGGACCTATGGGCTTAATATTTTAATAAAAAGTAATAAATAGTGGGCTGGGCCAAGTAATTAGATAGATTGAGGGAAGCCTCATTTGGAAAAGAATAAATAGAGGAATAGAGGAGGGGGAGGGTAGGCAGATTTTGGGATAGGGACGGGGAAATTGGGAGTGTGAGGCCACTCGAAGAGTCTCAACCTTTTCTTACATTATTTTCTGTATGCCAACCTTAAATCTTCATTAATATACTACTTCTATCGACTGGGATTCCTCCGTTACCTATCATAGAATACACAAGAATCAAAGAAAAGTATAAAGTATAGAATATGTAAGAAAGAAAGAGAACTATAAAGTATGCATAGTCAGATACATGTAATGTGCTTGAGGTGTATAGATTAGATAAGAAGCAAAGAGAAGTATAATAAAAGGAAAGGAAGAAGATAAACTGAAAGAATGAATAAATAAATATATTCACTTCAGCTAATTGTTTTTGCAGGTGTTACTATGGAGTTGGAGCATACGTGTGTATACGGACGTTTTTTTTTGCATATATGGATGAACACCCTGATTTTGTTTAGAAACAGTAACCATGAGTGCCTATTACTAGTATGTCTTGTGCTAGAAAAATTATCGTTTAAATACTAGTGCATGCTATAGTGCGGACTATAGTTCTGCTGGTTTCATTGGTCTGTTGCTCTCGTAGGAAGGAAATTGCTGATTTCAATTTGGAAGATATATTACTCTTCTTATTGCCTAATTTCAAATTGCTCTGGTTCGAAGAAATATTAGAATTCAATTAGTGTTTTTCTTATTGAAACGTATGTGTTTGAGAAAAAAATAACTGGGGCAAAAAAAATTACTTAAAAAGATGTGTATAATTTGTTGGCCATGTAGTAGTTTTTTATTAGAATGACAAAAGGGCATAATTCTTGCATAAATTAATGCTCTATACTATCAATATATTAAAAAGAAAAGGTGGGATCTTGTATGGATGAGGAACACAAATCAGGTATGAATCAATTACACAAAAAAGCGTGGTATGAATGAATACCTTTGAGGCAAGATCCCAGACAAATCATGAACTCCGATGATGAAATGGATTACTGAATGAATACCCGGCGGACGCTGTCAAGATCCGGCAGAAACGAAAGAGGAGAGGGCAATTCCTCCGATTTCCAATCAATCAAAGAGACGTAGATGAATGGCCATGGAGAGGGAGGGCATTCCTTCGATGCTCTGCTTTCGGTTTCGATCTAATCTAATCAAGAAGATGGGGTTGAGAAAGGCCGTGTCTTTGGAAATATGACAAGAACACTCACCAAAATACAATATACATACCCCGACCGCTAAACAATCTACCCACGGCCTGTCAACATTAATCTATCTATATACAATTATTTTTCATTATCTTTCCAATTTCGTATATTAATTAATGATACTACTAATTCGTTACTTTAGATTAGAATTTGTTAGATTTAAGCTAGATTAGAATTTGTTGCAGGAAATTCTACGTAGTGTGCTATCGTTTATATAGAATATGTATTAGGGTCATTTCTATGTAAATTATGTAATCTGGTCCTGTTGGCCTGTACTTGTAAATCCTCTTTGTGTGGAAGAGTTTTCACACAAAGAGTTGCAATTTTTTGAATTACAAATTTAATTTCGATACCCTATACAAGTATATAAATTCATGTAATCACAATATACTTTGTGAAGCTAGAGGCAAAAGAACCCCATCTTTCTCACCCGCACAAGGCTTCACCGCCAAAGTCGTGCTTACCGCCACCAGCTTCAATTACTGGGTTCCGCCGCCCCGTCCCTGTCGGCCGCCCCACGGAGTCACTCACCGCCGCCCTCCGGATCTGTGGCTGATTAGAATTCTCATTATACGGTTAATTTATGTAATTGTACGGGAATATACTTCATGCCACCCCACTCCAAAAAAACATCTCTATCTTTAAAATTCATATAACTTTTCTATTTGCAATTCAATTTTTATAAAATATATATCAAACTTTATTTTTTTTTATTGTCTTTCATATGACACCTGATGGAGTATATGGCCCAGGAACCCCCGGCCCATAGACTCCTACTTCTCCTACACAAGCCCATTGAGCCCAGAGAACAACTCAGGCCCAAATGCAACGGCCCAAGCCTCAAAGTAGCCCAGAATACACACTGGGGTGCCTTCGGCCTCTTTGGCCGAAAGCTCCAAACCTCACAGGATAGCCTTCTCTGGCATAAGAAGCTACTGGGAGAAAAACGGCGAAAAACATAAGCCTGACGTTTCTTCTTCTCTTTGCCTAGAATGGACCGACCAGATATGCATTTGGTGCTCAAGGCAATAGCCGCCCCTCTTAATCGGCCGCCCCACTCAGTCTCTCGCTGCCGCTGGTCGGATCCCGCCGATGAAGTCCGACACCTGCCGGATCTAGTGTTAAAGACAATCACTAGCCACTAACGTTGCTAGCTCGCTGACCGCCACCGCTGGTCTGCGGCCCATTATCGGCGCTGGCAGCTCGCCACCGACGTTACACGAAGAGAACATAGGACCCAAAAGCGTAATTTAGATGAAGTTCACTCGACTAAACGCTTGGCCCATGACAGCTAATGGAAGGACGCCAGCGTTTAGTTTGCACGTGGCTATTGCAAGCAGAGGGCAGAAGAACGTGGAGGGCCCCACCAATTCAGGTATTCGATGGACTTAATACAATGAATTCATTTACACTCCGTATTCCGTATTATTTATGAGTATTTGTTAATCACGTATCAACACGCACCAATTCAGAATGGGGTCTATGCTTCTGATACTTGAATTCTACGTATAATTTAAACATTCATTTTCAACTATGATGATATTGACAATGAACTACTTTGAAAAGATATTAAAAATAAACAAACGTGGCCTGGAATGTATGCATTCACAGTTTCACACTGTTTTTTTATATACACCGTAAGTGTGTATGTTCACTGATGTGCTAAACTGCTAATGAATTTCCAATTCATTTTTTTAGTGTATATATGCCTAGTCTTTTTTAAGTTTCATTCTATTTTACAGTTCTAGTTGGCCATATAAGTAATTTCTTTTCTGTTGAGAACTCGTATGTCTTTTTCTGCCCTTCAATTCAGTTTTTTTATTAATAGTAATACGAGTATTATATACTATCGTATGTCTACTAACGTACCGTGATACACTTTTGATGGAGTATATGGCCCAGGAACCCCCGGCCCATAGACTCCTACTTCTCCCACAAAGGCCCATTAAGCCCAAGGAGCATCCGAAGCCCAAATACGGTGGCCCAAGTTCAAGGAAGCCCGAGATACACACGGGGGGAGAAAACGGCGGAAACAGGAGCCTTCGGCACTGTTGAGCCCTCGACATCAGAGAAGCCTTCGGCTGAACCAAGCCTTCGGCCTCACAGAGCCTTCGGCCGCATGAAGCCTTCGGCTACGCGAGGAGCCTTCGGCCAAACAGGCCCAATCATCGAACATTCCCTTTGAAGACAGCCAACCACCGCATTTAATGCAACGTCACATCCACCAACCGCATTCAATGCGGTGAACATGCCACTGCCGGTGCCACCCGATTGATGTGACCCCTCGGCCGTTGGATTATTGACACGTGTACTCTCATCGCATTTATTGCTAGTATAAATAGCAACCCATTTCTCCTTGTAAACGATCCGAGATCTGACATCTCGAGTTCATTTAATACAATCGACTCTCTCTCCTCCTATTCCGCTCTGACTTCTCTCTAGTTATTCCCGCAATAACCCCTCGGATAAGGTACCCCCGGATAGACTATCCATCAACTTTATTTATTAATTTAATATATGGCCTTTAATTAGACAGAAACAAACAATTCCTCTTTGTGTGGAAGAGTTTTCATACAAAGAGTTGCAATTTTTTGAATTACAAATTTAATTTCGATACCCTATACAAGTATATAAATTCATGTAATCACAATATACTTTGTGAAGCTAGAGGCAAAAGAACCCCATCTTTCTCACCTGCACAAGGCTTCACCGCCAAAGGCGTGCTTACCGCCACCAGCTTCAATTACTGGGTTCCGCCGCCCCGTCCCTGTCGGCCGCCCCACGGAGTCACTCACCGCCGCCCTCCGGATCTGTGGCTGATTAGAATTCTCATTATACGGTTAATTTATGTAATTGTACGGGAATATACTTCATGCCACCCCACTCCAAAAAAACATCTCTATCTTTAAAATTCATATAACTTTTCTATTTGCAATTCAATTTTTATAAAATATATATCAAACTTTATTTTTTTTTTATTGTCTTTCATATGACACCAATATTGCATATGTAAAAATAAAATCAATTTCAAACCTAGGAAATATGGAAGCTTTTAGGCTCAAAACCTTTTTTATGTAAATATTGCCTTACATATCAATTTGAAATTCCAAAATAGGACTATCATGTTATTATTTCCTAAATATAAGTAATTTCTGCCAAGTTTGGCAAAAACTGTCATGTTTAAAGCTTGATAATGTCAAATTTGACACAAGTTACTCTTATTTAGGGAATAAAAATAAGGTAGGCCTGTTTTGGAATTTCAAAACTTTTTTTTACTCCCATTTATAAAATAATCCCTTTTTAAAATAGACCCAAGCTTTAAATTTAAGATCTCATTATTGTATACCTTAATTTCATGCTTCAGTTAGGGGACATTCAATTTCTAAACCGAAAGTGTCAATAAAGACATATTAAGTTCTAAAACATTTATCTAAAAACAACTCAAATTGAATCAACAAAACAGCTCAATTAAGACTTTCTTAAGAGTCTGAAAACATCAAGGACACTTGCAAGACATGAGAAAGTAGAAGCTACGTGTTTGGGACACTCGATCTAAAAAAAACATCACCACTGCCGCACACTAGATAAAATGATTTCGCTTTTAGTTTTATTAATGGAAAATCACTTATTTATAACATTGATTTATAATGAATATTCAAATTTATTGTGTCCTTTGTATCTTCCTAATGAGCATTTAAAATCCCGATTGTAAGAAGAGAATTTTTTGTGTCCTTTGTGTTTTCGATTTGCTAGCGTTCTTTGTGTTTGCAGATTATTAAGAGAGAAAGTCGTTAACTGAGCTTTTTGTTGATGGAATCAATTTGAGTTGTTTTCAAATAAATGCTTTGAAACTTAATGTCCTATATTATTGACATTCCCGACCAGTAGGTAAAATGTCCCCTAATTATTGCAGAATGCTCAAAATTATTTTTTACTTTTATATATACAATATTGGTGTTATATGAAAGTTAATAAAAGATCGTGAACTTTAACGAAAAAGATGGGGATACCGAAGCTTGGTCACAAAGACTGAAAATGATTCATTGTTACATAAAACTCATTCAGTATCTCACCATCTCGCCAAAGAAAGATCGAACACCGACCTCATATTTGACTCAGTTTAGAATCAAAACTTATAAATGGAAATAAGAGTTAAACTAAACTAGTTCAATTTAGAATCAAAAGTTAATTTGAAATGAATATATAAATCTAAATAACATTTATTTAATTGAGATTTCGACCATTATAATTGTTTCACAAAGGATAACACTTATTCTTATAATAATTATTTCATTGCAATCTTCTTCTCCCTAGATATATTCATCCACCCTTTTAGAATATTTAGGATATTTTAATGGGATTAGTTTCAGTCTCATACCAGATCAAAACAGAACATACCAGATCAAATCAGACTAGACTTTGACGGTTGTAAAATATCTATCAAAGTAGACCTGTTCAGATTAAATTAGAACATGCTATATTTAAACATATCAAATCAGATTAGAAAATTTCAGGCCAATTAAAAGCACCCTTACATGACATTTATATGTGAAAATACAATTCGACTCTAACATAGATTAACACAATTTTACTCAAACATAGTTTCACTGAGCTCTTTTACAAAATTTCACTAAAACACAAATTATGAAAGTATCACAATTTTAATAGACTCATAAACAATTAATAATCGATTGTAATTATTAGGGCCTGTTTGGTAATGGTTGCAATGGTTGAAAAGCCTGAAAAGACTGAATTTGTTGAAGTGAAAGTGTTTGGTAATATGTTGATTGAAATGGTCGATTGAAATGTAGAATTACCATAAAGGGTATTAGTTTATTTGTTTTCAATAAATGGATAGGAACTTTGCCAGCGAATATTTTTTGCTTGATCAGATAATTATAAGATTACATAATTTACTGATTACTTTGGAAATTTTGTCTTAATTTTACGTTGAAAATAGTCAAAATACCAGTATTATTTTAGCCCTTATACGTATTGTACACTGTTATTTAATTTATAATTTATACGGAGTAGCTATTAATTAGCTCTTAGAGCTAATTATTTTCTTTGTACACGGTTATTTATAGCTTTTAGACCTAATTATTTGTTCAATTGAATTATAAGATTGATAGTTAAAAATACAATTAGCTCTTAAAGTACACGCGTACATCTTTGACAAATAATTGAAATCAAACATAAGAAATCAAAGTTGTTCGTTCAACTTTAGTCGGGACCGAATATGTATCCAAGATACTGACTCTATAAAAGAAGGATATAAAAGTAATTCCACCCACTCAACCATACACTAGACTTGATGAAGAGTGCAAGTTAAACTCGTAAACTGGAATTGTTTACAATCTCCGAAAGCTTTGCTCCATCATCAAAATAACATCTCTTCCTTGCCTTCCTTGAAAAAGGGAATAATGATAGCATGACACTTAAAAGAGGATTACTTTTATGTTGTAAGTAATTTCATGCTTAACATTTAAGGTGCATTCCATGCTAAAAAGGATAATTCTACAAATGTCTTCAGCTTGTTCACATATTTTGATTCAATAGTACAGTTCATGGTGCAAATTGGCATTTTTTTCTGTCCTGCCATCCAAATTATATTGATCCATGGACAAAATGATTAGAACTGTTCGCACGTTATAAACTGTAATCCCGATAATATCCCCAAGCAAATACATAGGCTTAACTCTTGACTTGAAAAGAACACCAAAAATGTCACTCAAAAAATATTCTCTTTTCTATTCACATATATCACAACAAATTTGAGAAACCTCAAAGTGTTAATTGAAATTGAGCAACTTAAGTGTAGGCAGCGGACTTACAATATGAAACAAACCACGCCTGGTGGCTAAACTCCATTTACAGAGTCATATGTAAGGCAATGAGTTAAAATATAATTTTGGTATAACAATTAGCATCATAAACTTTTGATATAACAGACTTCTCATAAGCAATTCACAACTTTCAGACTATTTTCAATTTAAGTGAGTTTTTTTTTTACTTTAGAATAATTTTGGAAAAGCACAAGCATTTGAGGTTTTTCTTTTTGTTTCACAGAATCTAGAAGAAAAAAGTTAATATTACCTCGTGGAAGTTTTGTTAATGATGGATATGATTGGATTGAACATCACATACTTCAGCCTAGCTCTGGTTGTGACTTGTGAGCTGGATTCCAACATCGAAGAACCAATAAAAAGGTTTTGGCAAGGGCCATAGTGACATACAAATGCAATATTATGTTTAAACAGTTTCACTCACAAAGATGGTCTTCAAGAAGTTTCTGATTGTTTGTTCCAACATCAAGGATAACAGGAAGAAACTCCCCGTTTGTAGTTTCTTTCGTTTTCTCCTCTATTAGTTTTCCCTGGCACTCTTGCATATTTAATAGAATACTTTAACCTAAATTCCTACTTGATTCAAACAACATCATGGGAATGAAGGTGGTTGAAAGAAAATTACTTTTGGCTCACAGAAAATGGTGGTAGGAACTAATATTCTGGAAAGTCAGATGACAATATTGGATTTGATATGGTTATTTTATATTGATTCGATACAAGTATTAGCAAGTAAAGAAGTTAGTGACACAAATGAAGGGCCCTGTTTGATAGTCATAACCAGCAAAGCATATTCTGATACCGAATTATCAGAATAAGTGCAACAGATAGTAAAAAAGAACACTAAAATGAATATACCAAGTACTTTTCCTAACAAATGATTCAGCAAATTTTGTGTTCTGCCATAAAACAATTGTCAAATGGGAACTAAGAAAGACCAAGTGCATTATGCAGGAAAGTGGAGGATTTTATGGCCACACCCCTTCCTTACCCGTTAGACACTTCCAACAACCAATGAGAGGTACATTTCACCCCTTTCTCCAGAAAAAACTCTTCCAACCAAGTCCAACAGAATCATATGATAGAATCTTAAAACAGCATACAGAAAGTATAATGCTTTAAGAGTTAATTTACAAAAGTAACCTACTTTTGGACAGCCGTTGTTTGGCTTTTTTTAATCTCGAATATCTTAATCATTTGCAGTCCGTACGCCATCTTAATATGAGTAACACACAATCAAATTATGATACTTTAAAGTATATTAGCATCAGAGAGCATTTAGTTCTAATGATTATGCAATAAAAAGAAAAAGATCACCTCTTGAGTGTGTCTACTATTTGTAAAAGAATATAGAAACTACTCCAAAAAGAGTAAAATATATTGATATAGAACTGAAATTAGGAAATTCTATAATACTCCATATAATACTTAACATATGAATACCTAAGATTCATTTGGTGTTCTGATACCAAGCGGTTTCTTATTAAAAACAAAAATAGAAGACTTAAAATCACACTACAGTACTACACTAATCTCCCACCTCAGCAGAATACCCATATTTCATGTCTTACTTTCATTAATTTCCATTTTAAGAGAAAGGGATGTCAGAAAGAAAAAAACTGAAACACAGACAGAATAATAAGAGGGCAATGAGACATATAGCTTCTACTTTCAGATTGAATAATCTCAATCGGAATCTTAATTCGATGAAAACCTTTCGGCAACTATTGGAATCGAGCAATCCCTAAGTGGCCATAGGAATGGAGAGAGAAGGAGATACCTGCGACGGAACGTACATTGTAACCCTGGCCGACTTGGCGACATGATATGGCGAAGTGAGAAATCTTGTTCCTATAAGAACAGAGAGATTTGCCATGAATGTGCCCCAACTCGAATGATTTCCAATGAAGGAAGAAATGAGAGAAAGAACCAGAGTGGAAGAAATCGGCACAGATTTGGTAAGATGCCAGATGGTATTGAACTCACTAAGAGAGTGTTTGCAACAATTTAAAAAAAGCACTTCTCAGCTTTTGGATTAAAAACACTTATTTATCTAACACCACCAATTTTTACTTTTTCTCGACTTGCGTGTGAAAAGTGTTTTTCCCTTTTCTATTACACAAAAACACTTATTTTACCAAACACTACCAACTTTTACTTTTCAAAATCACTTTCTTTTCAAACACTATCAACTTTTACCACTAATCACGTTTTCCTTACATCTCCAAAAAGTGCTTGTTTTTAAGCAGAAGCAGTTGCAAACACTTCCTAAAACGTGAATATTGCTGCTGAAAAAATATAAGCAGACAATGACATTGTTGTAAGATGGTAAGACCCTAAGTCCTAGTCGGTCTCTCTGTGAAAGGGAAGCCCGTGTCTTGTTTTCTTGCAAAACGTATTTATTTAGTACATGCTCAAGTTTGCAGACAATGACATTTTTGTTACATCAAGGTAACGAAAATTAGAGAAGGCCTCCATTGTAGTCAAGCATTACACTTTAGAGTTAACAGGCTGAAACACACTTAAAAGTTTTTAACCTCGCAGTTATATTCAAGAATTCATTTGAATGAATAAGATGCTCAAAAAATTTCATCAAAAAATTCCACCGGGAACCGCCCCAAATGACGACGACCGGACAGAACCTCATATATAAGGTCTTATTTGACATTTTTTTGTAAGTTTGATGTCCTATCTGACCCTTTTCCCTTTAATGTATTTATGCTCAATATAATTTTCTAAAGTTTTAATTATTTTTAGGTTGGTACTTAATATGGCTTCACTAAGTACCTTTTAAAACATGGGAATAGAAACCGTAAAACCCGGACCGGATCGACCAGTTTCAAACAGACCGAATAATGTCTGGTTCCTATTTTGAAAATTGCAATACCCGGACCGAATCAGACCGTACAATTGAACCGGCGGTTCCATTTTATTTTGCATTACCCGGCCCGTGCCCAGCCCTACTTCCAACCCAACAACCTGTTAGAAGCAATTTTTTTTCTTCTCTTTTCACCAGTTTTCTTTTCATTTGCTTTGAGAGAAAGCTTCTCTTTTTTAACCTTCAACTTCAACGTTTATTATATTCTTTTCTTCACTCACTAATGTGTCAAATAGCATCAAAAGTACCTGAAAATACACGCACAGGACCGCATTAATGCAAAGTAACGACAAATGGTAAAAAAATATGTACAAAAACACAACTTTAAGCACTAAAATTAACAAGAGACTAACCCTAAAAAGTGTGTAAAATATAATCAGATCAAGTCCCTAACACTTGGATTTTTGCTTGTCCTCAAGCAAACCAAACAACAAACACAAAATAAACACAATTTCATAATATTTACAAACACAACTAATAAATCAGACACACACCTCTAATGTCCACTATACATTCCAATACCCATAATTGTTACAAAATAACCCAATGAGAGTAAAATGAGTATTATTGCCTATCACTAAGATTTTCAAATCAAACTTTTAACACAAACACCTATAGATCTAAATTAGTTCGGGTTATGTAGAACAAGTTTCTCCAATTAACTTAATTCGAAAATGACACAAATAGATCAAATAGGACTTTTATTTGAGTTTTGATGAGGTTAATGGGTGTGTCTAGTTGGAAGGAAGGTTTGGTGTAAGAATATACAAATAGAGTTAGATTGCACTAATATCGAGTGGATCTTCGAAAGAATATAGAAGAACACAGATCATACAAAACAATGAGAAATATAAACATGAAAAGTAAGAACATGGGGTTATACAAAAGAAATGACAATGGGAATTTTTAATGTGCCTCTTTGTTTTTGTTTTTTTTTTCCTTTTTTTTCTTTTTTCTTTTCAGATTTTTTTTTCAAAGAAGGCACACACTGAATATTACAATGAAAAACTAACCCCAAAATTTCCAAACAATATGCACTTCACTAATACAACTCTTGAAAAAAGCTCCACTTTTAATCCACTCTCAAGTAACAAACAATCTACTCTGGGGTTAAAAAAGATTAACTTTGGGTAGGGCTTCACAGGTTATGTATTTACAAGGTCACAAGAAAATTAGTAACAAGTGAAGTAAGGTATTTTACACTTGTACAATAAAAAGGCTCAAACAGGGTTACTAGGGAATTTGTTACAAAGGGATATTGTTTGGCTTCAAGGGTAAACCTGAGGTGTCGCGGGCCGCGGCGGCGGATAATGAAGCTAAGAAATCGGAAATATGAAATACAAGTCCGAAAATATGAAATCGGATTTCTTAAAAAAAAAAAACTAAGAAGAAGAAGTCTTAGTGACCGATCTAGTTAATTGTGCTTGTTGTAGATAAATCTAATTACATATAAAACTGTACATACTAAGATATTTTAAATAAATGATTATTTACATTAATTTGTTTCCAAATCACTTCATTCTATTCTCACCACTACTAGACACATGCATTAATTTCAAACACTCATAAAAGTATTTAAAGTGTAATATACTAACATCCTTTAATGCATATATAAATACATGATCAATTAATAAAGATCACTAGCACATGTATGGTCAAGGGGCCTGCATGAGCTCCACATCATCAAATGAAGATGACTAGGAGATATATGGCCAAGAGGTTTGTATTAGCTCCACGTCATCAAATTAAGATGAGGAGTGGTATATGACTGAGGGGCATGTATAAGAGCTTTACAACATCGAATAAAGATGATGGATGATATATGGCTGAGAGGCCTTTACGAGAGCTCCATGTCATCAAATAAAGATGATAGGGAGATATACGATCAAGGGGCGTGTATGAGATCTCCACGTCATCAAATAAAGATGATAGGGCCATATATGGTCAAAGGGCCTGTATGAGAGCTCCACGACATCAAATAAAGATGATAAGGCGATATATGGTTGAGGCCATGTATGAGAGCTCTACGACATCAAATAAAGATGATGTAATGATATATGATCAGGGGCTGTATGAGAGCTCCACGTCATCAAATAAAGATGGTGGAGTGTATCACCGAGGGGCCTGTATGAGAGTTCCACACCATCAAATAAAGATGATGGGGAGATATACAGTTGAGGTGTCTGTATGAGAGCTCCACATCATCAAATAAAGATGTTGGGGCGATATATGGCCAAAGGGCCTGCATGAGAGTTCCACGACACCAAATAAAGATGTTAGGGCAATATTTGGCCGAGGGGCCGACGATAACCAGACACCACAAGATGTTCGCAACGGTGCGTTGTCCTTAAAGGGAGTGGCTGATATCGGTTTTGGGATAAAGATATGGTCGCCACCCTATGAGGACAGTGAGCGAACCCAATAATAAGGCCATGACGTCGACTTTAGAAGCCAATCGTGATATCTCTACCGTCAGCCACCTGACATTCCAGACTGTCCACCTTGCGCGGTAGCACTGCGTATCTCGAGTTCAAAGTGCTCCTCATAGTGCTGTCATCGACATGCTGCTCCTTTGCTTCCATCTGCACTAGGTGCCTCTCCAGCTGCTGGATCACCTCATCTCGAGGATCTCTACTCATCACGGTGGCGCCCTGCGTTTGTATCTGAACTCAGGTTACATGTGTGTTGTTGATTTTGTGGCTTACACCCTCCTCATGGAGCTTCGCCTTGTCTTTGTCAAGAGGTTGTCGATCCATTGTCTGAGACACTGACCCCAAGCTTTCCTAGGGTGATCCTGACCTTTAATCGCCTCCTCTCCCGCCCAGCCTTTAGAAGACTCGGCCTGCGCTGTGAGTTACCCAACCTAATGAAAGCCAATGTGTGTCTGCGTCTCGTTGTTGACCAGTACCTTCTAAGGGGAAGGCGATGTCTTCGTGGCGGTGTGCAGGATAACACCGTTTTCTTTAATTTGGTTTTGAGTTGCAGGTAATTGAGGGGTGGCTCCGGGAGTGGAAGCGGAGGAGGAGGTAGGTGGTGCATTCTCCTCGATCTTGAGCATGAGTGCACTCAGAGCCGTGGGATCCAGGGTGAGACTCGTGATGATGACGGAGAGTGGTGCATGTATGTCCATGTAAGGTGAAAGCTGCTGATCAGCATTGGTCTCACTCCTCTCCTTGTGTTTTGTCTCGATAATGATGTGTGCAATAGGAGCGTTGGTGTTGATCTTGTCGCGAAGGGCCTCCGCGAGGTCAATTGTGTCAAGAAACTTTGTCTCCCTGGTTGCATTCTCCATTGTGGCATCACCAGACTTATCTTGTTGGACGCGAGGGTCCTGGAGAGCCGTGGCTGCAAAGGTTGATTTAGATCGAGTCTTTCTCATTTACAAAGTGTTAGTAGCGTCTAGTAGCGACGAGGTACTAACTTGATGGTTCTTTATCTCAATGATGCATCAAACGATGGATAATAGGATGCAATCTAGGTACTTCGTATTGTTTAGGAGATTTGACCTGGAGAGGTGGAGAAGAACATGAATGTGTATAATATTGATTAGGTTTTACATGAAACTCCCAGGTGAGTATACATAGAAAAATAACGGGCTGAGCAGCTACTATGAGCTCAATATGCGCAACTACATACAAGGCTAATCTAGTAGATACAAATGATGTGAACTATATAATAATATAAATGATATCCATAAGCATGTGTGCGCCGCTGACCAGACCCAGTAGTCATGAGACAGGGAGTCCAAATATATATACTTTATTAATATTATTTTTAATTTAAAAATTGGGTTTGAAAAATTAAAACATACAATTATTTATTTTTTGCGCTAACACTACAAACTAGTCACACGTTAAGAGAATTATAAGCAGTGTAATCATTAAAAACGGGACAAAGGGATTTTTTGGGATAACCTTCTGGTGTCTCGGTCATGTCTCATTTTAACCGGTTCGGGGATGGTGCGGAACAAAATAATCGGGTCCCAGACGGGACGGGGCAACGGAACCAGGATTCTCGCCCACCCCTATTGCACATATGGAATTCTAAGTGGATACTCAATATAACTATGATAATACTTCTATACACTACTTACGACCAATTGCGGTAATACTCATATAG